TCGCCTGTATCTGAACATAATCAAGATTATAGTCGTTTAGTACGTGAAAAAGCTAAAGAATTAGAAAAACAAATTGAACTATTTGAAAAAGAAAATGGAAAAGTACAATCACTATGTAATGAACGTAATTTAGCTATTAAAAAATTAAAACAAGAAAAACGTTTATTTGAGCAACATCGACAACAATTACGTGATCATCCCGATAAATGTGAACGAGAAGAAATTGAGTTATTAAAAAATCAAGTAAAAAAGATATTTTTTTATCAATTTTATTGATGTTTTTGTTTTCGATAGGTTTTAACCTTACAAGAAGATTTAAAACAACGTGAAACACTTTGGTCAACAACAATCAATCGTTTGAAAGAACGTATTGAACCATTAGCATATGAAAATGCCGAAGTAAAACAAGAAAAAGATATTATTGAACGTAAGCGACTTGATCTTATGGAACAATTACAAACAATTTCTAAATAACACCAACAACAAGAAAATCACTTGTTAAACTTCAACAAACCAAACAACGTCCAAAACGTACTGTACCAACAACATCAAAAACTCAATTATTACCAAAAACAATGGTTGTAAGAAATTCTGAACCACCAATTAAACCAAAAATAACATCCAATGGACGACGAACAGCAGCAACAATTATTGAACCGGCTATTATTATATCAGAAAGAGCTGATTCAGGAAATGGTGGAAGTGATGAAGATAGTAATAGATTTGACTGAAAACATATATCACCGTAAGTTGACGCGAAAAAAATGTGTAGATGACAATGTTGATCCGATTGAGTCGAAACTAGAGATGTGCAGAACCGAGGCCGGGACCAAAAATCTTTGTTCATATATTATAATACGTAAGAGAAGAAGTATCATTCGAACACTTCGTTTTGTCTATAGTACCAAAAAGCAATATTTGATCTACTCATTACCTATAGCTAATCGTGTTTTATACAGTTCACAGAAGCCGGTCTTAGCTTGTTTTCTCCCCGAGCAGTATAAGCAAAGACAATTGATGACAAAAATTTATTTTTGTTTTATTGCTTAGACTTTTATCAGCTATTATTAATTCTGATTATATAAAATCATCCATCGCCAATGATGAAACAAATCATTCAACTACTCTCGATTATAAATCTTTATTAACCATGGCTAAACGTACATCATCATCAGCAACAACAACACTTCTTCAACGACATCAAGAAATTTTATCATTTTTTGATCAACCAATAATAAAACGACAACCATTATCAATAACTAATAATGATTCCATTTTCTCAACATCTCATGTTAGTATGCCATCAACAACAAAAAATATAGCATATAAAGAAAATATATCTATACCAACAAATAATTTCACTATTCAAGAAATTCATCATAATGATGGACGTATTGAACGTGTTAAATCTGATTTATCGAAACAAATTGTATTTCCAAATAGCGATTATAAACAAAAATTATCTGATGGTCGTTATATATATAAATATGCAAGTACAAATACAACTGAAACGGAATATCCAGATGGTACACATATATATGAATTTCCAAATGGACGACAAGAACATATATTACCTGATAAAACAAAAAATATTTATTTAACTGATGGTACAATTATATCAATAAAAACGAATGGAGAAAAATTTATTCAACAACCCAATCAAACAAAATAAGTTCACACTGATAGACATATAGAAAAAAACAGTAACAAAAAGTCCCTGATGAGATACAATCACATCGGAAGAAAAAAAATGCAATCTTGCTTTTCTTCAGTTCTTCTTTGTTTACTTATTCTACCTTCACCGTGTCACTCACTGTACAGAGACGAACGAAAGAAAAAACATGGCAACAATATTAAAAGTACATTAGTGCATATATTTTTGTTTTCTGGGTTTGTTTGTTGTTAATGTACTTTTTTCGTATTGATCTTTCTCGTTTGTTGAAGTTGCACTTTTGCATGAAGTATATAATGTAATCAAGGTTATAGGCCATTTTTTTAATTCTCGAAATCAAATTTTTTGTTTGTGCAAATAAATCAGACGTGTACTGTAACAATGGTTTTTGTTTTTTTTCTTGTTATTTTTTCAGCATAAAGAAGAATTCGAGTCTTCAGTGTCGCTTTCGATTCGTAAAATGTACGTTGTTCATCAAAAAAAGGAAAAAATAACAAATATAAACTGCGTTTCTACTAAAAGGGTGTTCATTTTTTTTAAATAAATTTGAAACTATGGGCATGTTTAAAAGAAGCGAGCTATACTTTCCATTATTTGTCAACTGTATGCGAACAGCTCTAAAATTATTGATCGTTTAGCATCGGTTTCTGTTGAAAATATTCTCTCATATTTGATTTCATTGGTATGCATTCATTATGAACTTAGCTTAAGTGACGGACGTATTAGGTAATAATGCAAGAGTTTTCTAATGGGTGTTATGGCGCGGGTGTGGGTATATTTCTT